TCCAACACATCAACACACTGTCGCAAGATTGCTCTGATACCACCTGTAACACCCCGACAACACGGCCGCATGCCTCGAATAGTTTCTCCTATATACTCTCCAGACCTCTAGCACTATCCTCACAAGCCAATACAGTCCCTTACCACACACTTTCCTTACTCGTGCGTGCCCTTCCCAAGACTACTTTTGTGTAAGAACGCTTAACTTGGAGATGCACCTTGTTGACAATCCTCTGCTCAGAGAGAACAATCACATTGATGGTGTTAGATTGCAATGAAGAGTCGGCGTGAGAACATTTGCGTGTTGGGAGAAAGGAGAACATGAATCTCCCCGGCTTGGCCATGGATATGCTGACATTGACAGAGAAGGACAAGGACATCCTCGGATGGGGAGTTCCTAATAAGATTGACATCATTGCTCTGTCATTTGTCCGTAGGGTTTGATGTTATGACAGTGAAGCATTTGCTTGGGGAGCACGCCAAGAACATTGTGATCATGTCAAAAGTTGAGAATCAGAAAGGGGCTGATAATTTGGATGGGATCCTGGAGAATTCGAATGGTTTCATGGTGGTCAGGGGTGATATGGGGATGGAAATTCCAATAGAGAAGATATTTCTTGCGCATAAAGTAATGATTCACAAGTGTAACATGGTCGGCAAGGTAGTTGTCACAGTGACACAAATATTAGAATTAATGACCAAATACACACGCCCCACGCGCGCTGAGGCTACAAATGTTGCAAACGTCGTGTTAGACCGAACTGATTATGTCATGCTCAGTAACAAGACGGTGCTCGGCGCGTACCTGGAAGCTATGTTGTAAAAAGCGGACCGGAGAGTGACCCAGCCGAAGGACTGGGTCACGGGTCAACCCGGGCCCGGCGGGTCAACCCGGTCAAACCCAGAAAACCCGATCAACATATAAATAAACTTATTATTCTAACACATACATACTTTAATAAAATATAAAATTTATTTTAAATTACATGGACAATAAATATGAATGTGATGTGTATTAAAAAATATATTATATATACAAGTATATACTTTCATTTACAATAATAGCAATGGTACATACTGATGATGATGTTATAATTTTATCCTGATTATTAATTACAAAGTAGAAGTCTCTTAAAAAAATATTAGCACAAAGTTGGGGCAAGCTAATCATGTATTGACGTATATTATATGTGTTATATACGGTTATAGAACGATACTATCAAACATGTCAAAGGCAGCTTGATGGATTGAGACGTGGCCTGTCTCCCGGGATACCAAGGTTCCATTCCATGCGCCTTCACATTTTGTGTTTACTTCCGGGTTTTCCACAGTTTCCGGGTTTGGGCCGTCCCCGGTTACGGGCCGGGCTAGGCGGGCCAGCGGTTAATTCCGAGTTTAAACACATTAGCGGGTTGAGCTTTGACCGGACCGGATTGGGCTTCGGGTGACCGGGTTCCGGGTCAACCCGGCCGGTCCGGTTCGAGTTTTAAAACATAGCCTGGAAGAGGCCGTGAGAACCATGACTAATATCTGCTATGAAGCTGAAAAGTGCATCAATCATCAGGTGGTTTTAAACAAGGCTTTGGAAAACTCATCGGCGCCAATGAGTCCACAAGAAAGCTTGGCTTGCTCTACTGTGGAGGCATCGAGTTCTATTCAATTTGATCTAATTGTTATATTCTCCGATGACGGTGACGCAGCCAAATTGGTGGCAAAGTATAGACCTGACATGCCGATTTTGTCAGTGGTGAGATCTGATGATGCTCCGGTGGGATATTACCGATTTCTAGCACAGAATTGAAAATATTCAACATGATTGTGAATGTTGGCGATGTGGCGGAGCCAACCTTTGGATACACAAAGGAGAATCAGCTCTGCCGTGCCGGTGACATTGTTGTGGCGCTATGCCTTGTAGGGATAGCACCACAACATGATAGAGATATTACCGTTAACTAGCTGGGAAAAGTGACAATTGTTGAAAAGTTTTGATCTTGTTACCTTTTGATTTGTTTTTTCTCATTAATTTAATCAAGAAAATACACTAAAAATATTGGCATGTTATCCCAAATTTAAACTCCAGCAATTAATTAGATTGTTTTTCGCCTAAAAAGGAGTAGTACAATTAATTCTTTTAACCCAATATCAAGTATTATAGTAACTTCTCAATCATCTTTATCATATTCAATATTCCATTCAATACTCTCATTGCTCCCTGTTATTCCATTAAATTATTTGATTGTCGTGATATTTGAAACTCACAAATTGGTATCAGAGCGAGAGCCGGAAGGGTTGTTGTGGTTAAACACCTTAATGACATGTGGACTCTACAGTAGCTTGAAAATGTTGTTAGGGGGGACTCAACGCTGATTACTAAGCCAAAGGTACTTGTTCCTAAATGAATTTCATTTTGATTGCATACTCTTAATGCATGAAGAAAATCATGTAATGATTTTACTTCTTGGCCATGCTTGTTAAAATGGAGGTCAATCCCTTGGGCCACTTTTAAATATGACAAAAAGTTGTCAACAATGGAATATAATTCAAATTTAACTTGAAGACACTCTAATACCATTACAATGACTATCCTCATTGAAATGAAATCGACGTCAACCGAATTAAGTTGCACAGTTTGTTGTATCATTGTGATAAAAAAAATCACCTTCTTCTAAAGTGTTTGCTGAATAGTCAATCCGTTCAACATATATGAACCTAGTACAATTCATTCATGTTTCCTAGACTTCTCGCAAACTCTTCAATTTCTCAAAAATATACTTTCTTCTTGTCTCGAATGATGGACTATTTTCTTTAGTATATTGGTCTATATTGGATACATCTAGCCAACTAAAGTCCATGCAATTGTCCTTATTCTACATTTCTCCGTTTGTCTTTAAAGACATAACACACAAATTTCCTTCTTATGGATGACACGATCTAGACGGAGTGTCTGGCCATGAGGAAGAATGTTGAAGTTTCACACCAGTAAAATATGAAATAATAAAGTGTTATATCAAGATTCTGGGTTACTACCCCTATCAAGTTGACCTTTTGAGATTTAATTAACCACACAGGAGACAAACCAATACTCTGGACATTGAATTTAGTGAGACAATTAAGATGCAATTAAGACAGTTATATATCATCATATCATGTTGACATCCTCGTCTAATAAAGCTTTTCCTAGATCTTTTACAATCCGCATGTCAAATTACAATTCTCATTAAATGCGAGAAGACACTACAGTTCGTGGAGGAAAATTCAAAAATTAAAGGTCATTACTCTTCTAAAATCAAGCCTAATTATTTTAGAGAGTAGGAGGGCTCGTGATGGTACCATGAACTGTGACCATGGTCCAATCAAAGATCACACCCACAAAGCCCATTAGTCGGGATTAATAGATCAATAAAGCCAACTCGGCCTGACAGGGGATCGCGACCCGAGAAAGGAACCCACATACAGACCGACTTGATCTGCTATTGGTATTCTAACGAGGTCAGACTCATCCTGGGGCTTACCTAGCAAGCTATTGGTTACACATAGCTATTTGGCCGTGGCAGGAACTTAATGGAGGAGACGTGGACATAAAGGAGTAATAAATGCGAAATTGTGGGGTATGTTAGAAGAGTTCCGTCACGATTAGACTATTAAATGTACCGGTTATAACTCCTTAGAATACTGTAGCCCTATGTCCATAAATACTTCATGTACTTACCCTAAAAGGGATCTGTTTTTCCGATTAATTATATTGTCTTACGTTGCCTAAATATTCTATTCTCGTAAATTAGCTCTTGTAGTTGAAATTAAACTCCATCACCAACAATATAAGCTTTTTTTGGTTGTAATTTGAATGATGATAAAGCTAAACCTATAATTAAATAGGACATACATGCGCATAGAAGGATGCATAGATGGTCAAGTCGATTTTGTATCACAAATTAGATAGACCGGGAGAGCATTATATCTTAGAAATTTAAGAAATTATTATTTAAAATTAGTCTCTCATAATGTTTAGCAAACTCGGACATTCTTATTCATTGAATAAGAATTAGCTAATTTATACACTATCATTTTTGTGTTTAATTCGATTCTATATTTATAAGAGGAAATGTGATACAGTAAAGTAGCTTTATAAAAAATGGTACAAATTAGTTATACGGAGGAACACTATTTAAAAAGGGCAGTACCTCCGTCCCACTAACATTGAGGATGAGATATGATTATTCAGAAAAACGAGTTGGTGTGATTAATATCAAATTGATAAAGTACGACTGAAGTAATATTGTTTTACAATCACATAATTTTTTACTGAATTTGATATGAGATAATCTTGATGAGATGAAGGGAGTACAACTTAGTGGTATGGGTAGACCCAATTCATTTTTTTTGACTCATCACATCCAACTTTCTTATTAACTTAAAAGGTCATTAGCCAAATGGCTAGCAACACAACTTGGAACAACCTAAAAAATACAAAGCAGATTTGAGATATTAAAATCTGGACCACCAAATATGCTCTAAATATGCTCTAAATATTTTCTATATTTTACAAAGACTATTTTTATCATTATTAAGTGTGTTTTATATATACTTTAAGTTCACACATTTTTATCGAGATTTAAAGATTTAAGTTTTAATAGTTATGATACTCAGTAGTATTTATTTAATTTTGAAGAATCTTAAATACTCCGTATAACCCACAAGTGATAACATGTTTTTGCGTGAAAAGTGCTTTTTATCTTTTCTATTACACAAAAAACACTTATTTTATTAAACAGTATCCCTTTTTATTTTTCAAAATCATTTTCTTTTTCATACACTCTCAACTTTTACTACTAATCACCCTTTCCAAAATAACATCAAAAAGTATTTTTTCTAAGAAAAAACATTTACAAACATTCTTCAGCTTACAATTTGTCTATCGATGCATTTGGTGATAACGTGGCATTAGCTTATTGGGGGCAATTACGTGACATTTACACCGGAATTGTTATTTATTTATTCGAATGAGAACCCACCTTGTCCTACAAGCCCGGACGCGCAGTTCTTCCCTGCGACGCAGTCCTTGCTTTAAGTTTCTCAAATATGGAACGGATTAGCTACCCATTACTGAACCTCTGAACAGCAAAAAAGGTCGAAAGTCACTTCCGGCAGCAATGATTTGGCGGTTTATTTTGCTAGTATTGCTGTTATCAGGGATAACCGCACCCGCAACTTTAACGGCAACAAGAACAGAAAACCGGTCAACGGGAGATGCGCGTGGCGTTTTCTGGCCTGACGCAGCGGCGGAAGCTGAGGATGGAGGAGGCCTTCTCCCGACGGCCGAGGACGAGTTCTTCGGCGGCTTTTCTGACTTACAGGGAATGTTGCAGTGGGCAATAGGTTTCTTCCTCCTCTCCGAATTCTGCTTTCTCTTAACTAAGCTAATTGCTAATTCAATGATCCTAAATGGGGTAACATATAAAGGTTGCTTTTTTTATGATATTATAATGTTGGTAACAAAATTTTATTGTAAGGGCAACACATTCTTTGCTACTACCATTATAGAGCAAGTGCTTTAATGTCCTGTATTTCTTGCGAACCCTACCATAGTTTTGTTTATTTTAATTTTGCTACTGTAATTTCTTTATCTAAGAGCTAAACTTCTTGCGGAATTTCACTCCAGGCCATTCTGATCCAGCAAAATTGAAGGAAACAGCTCAAGGTGTTCAAAAGTTGTCTTCTGAGGAGTTAAGAGCCCGCCAAATAGAATTACAGGTTAGTTCACGGACTTATATGGCCTACCCATGGGCATTGCTGAGAATCCCATGAATGTGGGGGTGGGGGTTTAAGAAAGTGAATTCTCCTAGGTACAAAATTGGAATCTAATTCTCTTTTGCTTTATTCTTTGTTTACAAAATCATGAAGTCGTTGAGTATGCATTGATATTGAAAATGTGTACTTAGAGAATAGGCGTAGTGATTTTGAGTTGAGTTTTAAGTCAAAACAATGACTGGTTACATCTAGAAGCCTGCCAAGCCTTCCATAGTTCCATGTATGTATACCAAAGTGCTTTACCTTTTCAATCCTCCCATCACGGAGAATTTTTTTCTGTAGCGAAATGTTTTTGAAAACCTTACCTAAATAGGGGATTAAGGATATGGTTAATAATATTGTAGAGTAGTGGTTAATAATATTGTAGAGTAGTAAGGAATTGAGAGTTGAGATGGTGGCATTAGCAAGCCTGCAAGACAGTAGAAGCATTAAAAAAGCAAGAAGACTTCCAAATCTCAAAGTGTGTACTTAGAGAATAGGCACAGTGATTTTGAGTTGAGTCTTACATCAAAACAATGATGATTGGTTACATCTAGTTGCCTGCCAAGCCTTCCTTGTATACCAAAGTGTTTTACCTATTTTCGTCCATCCGTTGAAGAGAAAAATTTTCCAGCAGTAAATGTTCTTTAAAATCTTATGTAAATAGGAGACGGACGATATGAGTAATAATATTTTAGAATGGTGGGGAATTTAGAGTCACAAGTCGGTGGCATTAGCAAGCCTTCTAAACAGTGGAAGCAGTAAAAGAAGCAAAATAACTAATAAACTTGATGCGCTAATATTTGTATGTGCATAACTGAAGCCATTAAAGAAGGGGACACACTACACTCCTTTATATAGTAGGAACACAAAGAAAATTGAATATCCCAGAACATTGTGGCGCTGGAGCTGTAAATTACAATATTAGGGGTTGTAAAGCATGGGTTGAACCATGGGGGTCATGAGTGTTTACTTGGCTTTACTCTCCCACAAGCTGGAACACATAGGGCAGTAGATCTTAGCACAGATAACTGTCTTGAGAAATGTCAGTATGTCACTAAAACAATGCTTTTGGCACCAGAAACCATTAACGTTAGCCAACTGCTAGTCGTCGGTCTCTATTTCCAATTGCTGAGGTGGTCTATTGGTCTATTCTATCAGTTCCTGGGGTGGTCTACCGGTCTCTTTGCTGGTTGCTGTGGTGGTGTTTGTTGTATTACAAACTACTATCCTTGTCTTACTATCATCAAAAATTTATTTGCATGGTGTGTCAGGAATTCTTGGAGAAGAATAAATTGCCATCAGATGCAAAGTTAATGCAGATTGCAATAGATGACTTGAAAAATTCATCCGTGTCTTTGGAGGACAGATTTCGTGCTTTGAATGAGCTGTTGGAACTTGTTGAGCCAATATATAATGCAAACGGTACGTTAAATATCTATCACCTTATTATCAACATTAATTTTAGTATTTTTGTTAACGGTTTGCCGTTGGTCATGTTCAATTAACTATCAATTGAAGGATGCTTTGTTCATTTCGTTTTATTAGCTTGTATGTGATCAACTTTCCAATTTTACTCTCTAAAAAGGTAGGTAAGTGATAAAAAATTAAGAGATGTATGTCAAAGAGTTTAGAGTAGCCATGTAAAAAAAATTGCATGTGAGTATCAAGTAACTATCAATTGAAGGATGCTTTGTTCATTTCGTTTTATTAGCTTGTTCATTGCATGTGAAAAATTTAAAGAATAGCACAAGGAGAGTTTAGAGTAGCCATGTAAAAAAAAAGAGTTTAGAGTAGCCATGTATGTCAACATCAATTGGCGAGTTAAAGGAAGTGGTCTGTTCTGTTTTCCATTTTAGGTTCTCCATGATAAGAATAAAAAAGTACACTTTTGCTCACAGTTGTTTGTTTGGACTTAGGAGTAGTTGCATTTTCTCCCTATCTCCACTACTACAAATGGTTCTCAGTTCGTTTGAATCCTTAAGGTCATGAACATAGGATTCATCCCCAAAGTTACTGTACACAAGGGAGAGCATGACCCTAATCAAGGATTAAATGCAAACTTATTGACAAAACCATCAGCATTTGATTGACCTGGATCATGTATCGAGCCCCATAGTGCACCGACTGTGGGTTTGTGACTTTAGATATTTGAATAGTAACTAGGGCACACACAAATATGTATGTAATTTGAATGTTTTTATGTTGGGTTGTGTTGCTTGACAACTTGATATGCTTCTTAGCGATACATAGTGTGTAGCATGATATTGTGTCTACTTCTGAAAACATGTAATGAGCCAGTGTGCTACACACACATAGACTAGCCAGTGTTTTGCACATCTCATTACTAATTAATTACTTAATACTGATGAAACATTTCAGATTTGCACACTATTGGAGGCCTTACTGTTGTATTTGGAGAACTTAGTCATCCAGAACCAGAAATAAGGACTCTTGCAGCTGAGGTTCTTGGCAAGGCCAGTCAGAATAACCTGAGCATTCAGAAGGAGGTAGTGAACAGTGATGTTCGATATGCTTCAGTTTCTTTACAATCTCATGCCAGAAAATTCTTTGGTTTCTCTCACTCGTCTTCTTTGTGCTTGAGATGCATGATATGATTTATTTTTCATGCATATAATTGTCAACACAGGTACTTCAACTTGGGGCTCTGGAAACCCTGGTGAAAATGGCAAAGGCGCGTTCTATTGAGGAAGCTACAAAAGCACTCTATGCTATTTCGGCATTAGTTAGAAATAATTTAGACGGCCAAACACAATTCTATCAGGAAGATGGAGATGCTATGCTTATGGTAATGCATGTGAGAGTGAGTTCATTAAGTGAGCCGCGTTGCCAAAAAAAATTCCCCCAACTCCTAAGAATAGTATGATAAAATTAGTTAAAAAATAGTAAACGTTAAAAATATAAGTATGATTCCATGACCTTTAAGAGTTGAACATTACAGAATTTAAAAGTTACACATTAATAAAAATGACTGTTTTAGTGGGTAGAATAATTTATATTTGAGGATTTATGCAGGATATTATCAACAATTCAACTTTAGACAAAAGGCTACACAGGAAATCAGTTTCTCTTGTTGCTGACCTGGCTGAATCTCAATGGGGAAGTGAACGTAAAGAAAAGCTGCATTTTTTCGGCAATCGTTATTTCTTAAAATCCTTGGTTGATTTAGTAGTTTCGAGTGACCTGGATCTCCAAGAGAAGGTAATGTATTCTCTTGGTTTATGACGTTTGTGTTCAACATAGTTCAATATATCGTGAAATTTAGCGTGTCAAATTTAATTGTCTAAGTTTAGTTGACTCAATAAATGTACTATTAGTGCATACTGCTTTCAAAATAAGTAATGCAAAAATCAAATTATAGCCATTGTCCAACAGTAAAGCCGGAAAATTAATGTGACCTTGCTATGGCATATTAGTGCGACCTTGTAATCTATTGATTTAATTTATTTATAAACTGTAAGCGATATTTTTTTGCCTAATGCTGCATTTTGTATGATTGTTTGTATTGTTATTTTTGCAATATTTTTATTTGTCCTGTTGTTATTATGAATTTATTATCATACGCCCTAAGCATGCTAATTTTTTTCGTTACTTTTGTTGTTATTGTTTCAGACTCTTTATGCAATTAGAAACTTGTTACTCCTACAATCAACGGATGGTGCGGTTTTCAAAGACTTTTGCAAATTGGACGTGGCACTTGAACGGATGAGACTACAGTTGCTGCAACTATCGGAGGAAGAAAACCATAGAGAGTATGCAGCAGACATGGAAAGTCTTCGGAAAGAAGTAGAGCAGACTATGTTTCAAAAACTTGAGAAGGTAACAACATAAGCTCATACATGTGTTTTTGCTGGCTATTTGCTCACATAGATTAGTTTTTTATTTTTGTTCTCTAATTTTAAAAACAGCAGGTTACCCAAGTTCCTTCGTGATTGAGCGGTTTTGAAATCATTGCATAATTTTATGTACGAGTGAGAACATGCCTGGCACAAAAAGAGAATCTTTTTACTCATGAATGCCAGAAAAAGAAGACAAATTCAGCCTCGTGATTCAGTATATATATTTTGTTTTCTGGCAAACAACTATAGTACCGTTTGGTTGGGGAGCATTTTTTTTGTTTCCTTATTTCATGTTCTTTTAACCAGACTAATATTTGATAGACTTAAGTATATGATGTATTCGTGGGGGTTTTCCTCTAATTTTTTCAAAATAGAATTATATAATCATTAATTCATTATAGACACGATGAAAGTATTATTTGTCCCTCTAAAGAAGGGAAGAGTCTTATTAGTCACTACACAATACGGTTGAATATCATTATGACTCGATTTCTAGTGGTCATTTTTTTAATTCATTATAGAGGCAAGGTTGTGTACATCCGAGTATCCGACCCCCCACTCCACTGTTGGTGGGAGCCTTTGCGACACTGGGGTAATCTTGTTGTAGTTTATTGTCATATTTAGTCACTCTATATTCATTGGATTGGATGACGTTTCTAATTCTTTTCCTTATGAATGTGTGACAAATGTGAATATCTTATAATTTTCAAATGTAATGTCTCATTAGCATTAGTCTTTGTAATAGTATCTCTCTCTAAAATTTGGACAAGATGAGGTAGTGAGTTATTAAGAAATTAAAATAGAAGTTGTATAGTTGATATTAATTAGTAAATGTGAGTAAAGTAAAAGAATTCGAACTACATAAAGGTGTGCTGGATTGTGAGAGCTATTGTTCTATTGGCGGTACTAATCTTAATCAAAGCCTGTGTTAGGTATCGATCAGATGGTATTGCTCGTTTTTGAATCGGGACCAGGATCATAAAATAAGGTTCCCATATGCGATTGGAACCCGACCGGTGGGAAAGCGGTCTCGTTCGCGAGCCTCCATTTTTTGAGACCTGGACCGGTTGCGACCGGGACCAGACTGGTTTCAATTAATCGTTTTTGTTTGTTTGCTATTAAATAATTGGAAAACATTTCATAAGGGTTGAGGATCCATTTAAAAGCTTAAAAGAGATCTAGATGGGGGTGGAAAGTGTTAAAAAGTGTATTAAAAAAATTAAAAACTCAGGACTGGCACCGGTTGTTGACCGGAACCGGCCACAAACTGGAAATAGAGGTCCCGGTCCTTCATATATTTTTCAAAGACTGGTTGGTCCAGGATTGAAACCGCGTCCATGCTTAGTTAGTGTCGTGTTTCTAAAGCCACAAAGCAAATCGTCTGTTGATTTTGTTGACACCTCTGCAGCTCTGCTTCGTCATCCACTTGAACCTTACAAGTGTGTGCGTTTCCGTCTAAAACCCAAATCAATTTATTCCAGATTTATGGAATAAATCAATGCATTTGTTCATGGTAGCAACGATGAGTATTGATTTCATATTTCAGGATTGAGCCGCCCATATTTCAGTTTTTACTACAAAAAATACGGGATTGACAGAGATTTTTGGTAGAGATTTATCAAAATTCATAGAGAATTTAGCAGAGATATGTCAAATCTGTGCCAAAAAACACTTTGGCATGAGCCATTTGACACGAAATCACCAGTAAATCTATGTCAAATTCGTGCCAATCCCATATATGTGTCCACCCAACTAGCATTAATAGAATAAAACAATGATGTTTAAAAATTGTAGCATTTAATTTGAATGATGAGTTATATCTTAGCATTATGATGAGTTATATTAATTAAAAGGGAAAAATAATTCAAATATCCCAAATTTTGAAAGAGTGCGAGGTAAACACCCCAAATTTGCATATGCAATTTAAATATGCGAACTTTACATAAAAATTTATTTTAGCACCATGGTCATATATTGTCTCTTTCAAAAATGGATTTAAAATATTTATTTAACACAATAAATATACATTCTTGAAAGAAAATTATATTCTCATGGTGCTAATTACATAACCTTTTTTATATAAAGTTCAGGATATTAAAATTACAAATGCAAGTTTGGGGTGTTGTTTACCTCACACCATTTCAAAGTTTAGGGTATTTGAATTATTTGCCCTAATTAAAATAGTTAACAAGTTAGAACTTCAAAGTAAAATCTAAAAATGTCAATTTCAATGACTGAACTTAATTAATTAATACTCCGTAGTAATTTAAGTATACTTCATCTTTAATTGGGATATACCTTACTTCGTTATACGGAGTATATTAATGCTAACACAGATTTAGCATGTCATGAGAAAAATGAGACGTGACGTTTAATCCGCATTATGAGGATCCGGTTTGCATATGCCCTCAATGTTATTTAAAATAACTAATTTAGTACTTACAAGCAAATATGAAAATATCAATTTCAAATGATTGGATTTAATAGTAATTTAATTAGTAGATTTGGATTACTACAGTCTACAGTACGTAGTCAGGCATGCATGCTTTATACTCCGTAGTTTATAGAAATAATTATCTTAGGTATGACTAAAACTCAATGAGTTTCTCAATCTATGATCTAACTAGTTTTTTTCTCAAAATAATATTATAATTCTTTATATTTAATTAAAATTCGTAATTAATAATTAATAATTAATTTTCATGGACAAATATACCCTTTTGCTTATAACTATAAAACCCTAACCTCCAACCCATTTTCTACAACCCTAAATACATCTTCCCAACACTCCCTTTGCAGTTGCCCGTCGTCCAACTGCCCCACCATTCAGCCGGCTGCCACACATCGTCTAGTCGCCGCCGCTGCACTTCGTCCAGCCGCCGCCAGCCGCCGCCGCACGTCGTCCAGCATCTGCCAGGCCTCTGCGCCCCTTCCTGACCTCTGCGCTGCCGTCATAGGCCGTGCGCACCGCCTCCCATCCCGCCCCAACCTCCATCCCGTCACAAATTCTTTTTTGTTTCGATACCCTGTTTTTTGAATTCTTGAATACCCTGTTGTTTGAATCTTGAAAACCTTGTTTTTGAATTCTTGATCGAATACTCTGCCTATACCTTTTCCTGATTGCTTTCTTGGCAGGTCATAATGTATGCCATACGTGTTTTGCTATCGAGTGCATAATTGATGGCTCGGTATGATGTACTTCCTCCGTTCCCTTTTAATTGCAATAGTCAACATTTCACGTTTGCCAACGCACAAGTTTGACCATTAATATCTTTCATTTCTTATTAGATAAAAATTTAAAAAAATCATATTTTGAAAATTTAGAATAAGAAGAGTTTAATAATATTTTTTAAAAATTTAATTTATAATACATTGATTAATAAAATATAGTCAAAATAGAATATGGGAATAGTGAAAAAAGTCCAATGTTGCATTTAAAAGAGAACGGAGGTAGTATGTATTATGAAGCAATTTTGAAGCAGTGCAGAATCCGCGGATGTCTAGCCTACTGGCCTGCAGATTGCGATTGGAGCATATACTTTTGAGATTAGGTTTTATATTGAATTTAGAGTTTCTGGGCATTAAATATGGGCATTGAACACCATCACTGAATATTTCAATAAGTGTTGTGGACGGTGAATATATATGGTAATAGACATATTGAACATGACAGTGAATGAATGCATTAAGAAATTTTGTTGTGCATTGATTATGACTGATATTGCAGTAACACAGAGCAGTGATATCATCATTAAATGCAATATACTCAATCAGACGTAAAATAATAAAATTACTAAATCTATAAAAATAAAAAATAAAAACAGAAATAAATTCCTCAAGTGAATATAATGAGAAGAGAATTAATTTTGGCGGAAGTGCAGTGATTATTACCGGACGTGCAGTAAAGACGTGCATTAATTTTGTGCAGTAACGGCAATAAAAAGTGCATTAATTTTAATTGAACGGAATTAGTGCAAAATGCACATATTTTAAATAAGGGTATTTTCGTCATTCAACATTTAAATATAAACGAATTTTCTATTTGTTTTTGGATTTTCAGTCATACAAAGGTATAAAAACTAAGTAGGTCATAGATTGAGAAACTCATTGAGTTTTAGTCATATCCCGGTAAATTTCCCTAGTTTATACTATGGCGGCCTGGGCCCCACTATGTTTAGGCTTGTAATAGTAATGGTAATATATAACTAAACAAATAATTAATACAAGGAGGACAAAGCCGATTACAGAAACGGAAATAGTAATGTCACGATCTTTCTTGCTCATCTTCTTATTCTTCTTCTTCTTTATCTTCTTCTTCTTATGTTTTACTTTCTTGCTGCGTTTCGTTTTTATCGTGCTGGATTTTGTGCTTCCGGAAATCCGCCGTGTGGGAACGGTTGCGGGGGAGGGAGGCTCAGCCACAGAAGGGGCAATAAGTGGTGGGTGATCCGGAGAGATGACATTGTTATCTACGTGTTCAATTAATAACATGGAAAATAGAAATAGAAAAAATGAGTAAGAAGGAAAATGCATACGCAGTAAATCCGAGCCCAACTGGCGTTGTCTCCTTAAGACGATTTTGCCCGACTAACGTAGCAAATGTCTCCCAGGATAGAACGGATTCGTTCCCGTTGACGGGACTCCGACGAACTCAAAGATGCAAGGATTTTTCGGATGAGTAAGAAGGGCGAATTAGAGAGTATTTTTTTTTGGCAATCTACGGATATCCTTTGTGCAGACTTCATTGGGTATTTATAGAGTTTTTGGCCAGGAAACTCTAACCCAAAAAGCACCTATTGAATGAAAGGTGGTGACCTTTCTTTCAATTTGAAGAGTCATGCCTCTCCTGCAAAGAGATTAATCCAAAAACGGAACAAAAATATATAGTCTTTTAAGAGGACTGTTTGACCGATCCCGGTCCCGAACCCGACCCGAGCCAACCGACTTACGGCGGCGGTGTGAGCGGGTTAAATATAATTTCACGCTTATCTTTCGGGGAACAATTTCTCATTCATTTCAGAATGGTTTGTCCAAATAATATTAATGACCATAATATTAATTTGAAAAACCATTTTTCCAACAATCCCCCCACATGAATGGGAAATTGGCTTAAAAACAGGAAACATATTGGAATTTGACATGGGAAGATGGGAACTCTGCATAGGGTTAGGTAGTTGTGAAACTTTGAACCTACCTTAGTGTATATCCATCGGATTTACCGGCCAATCAGTGACCATTTCTGCCTTGAACTGTCAGCCTTAGCGTAAACCTAGACAATAAATAACACACAGAGCCCCGAGTGCATCTTTGGTTCTCACGTTTGTGTTCGTTTTGGCCTTGAACACCTCCTGGTTCAGCTAGTGTTTTTGAGAGTTTATCGTGCACCGGAGAATTTATCTCGTGCCATAAAACCTCATAGAAGCGGCCTCCTTCCACCAGCATAGGTGATCTATATGGAAGGTATCATGCCATACCTTACTTGAACATATCAAGATATAGAGATCATTAAAAGCGTAACTTACCCTAAATGCTCATGGCATGAGTGTACTATATCTTGGCTAGTACCGCCCGAGCCAGTCCACAGTTGTGTTTTCCCTTTGAACCTGATTATGAGGCACTCTCAATAATAGGTAGGGTTTCCCCATGGACTTTTATTGGATCATTGGCCTTAGGCCCATCGCTCTCCTTGACGTCTCGACCAACTCTCTCTGTAGAGGTTTGGTTAGCGGATCCGCAATATTTTCTTTCGACTTAACATAGTCAAGAGAGATGATCCCATTTTTAATTAGTTTTCTAACGGTATTATGTCTACGACGGATGTGTCTAGACTTACCATTATAGACTGCATTCCTTGCTCTTCCAATTGCAGCTTGACTATCACAATGAATGGATATTGGAGGGACAGGCTTTTCCCAACAAGGAAGATCTTCCAAAAACTCTTTCAACCATTCAGCTTCTTCTCCAGCCTTATCTAAGGCAATGAATTCAGCTTCCATGGTAGATCTTGCAATACATGTTTGTTTGGAAGATTTCCACGACACAGCACCACTTCCAAGGGTAAACACATATCCACTTGTTGATTTTGTATCCTTGGAATCGGATATCCAATTTGCATCGGTATATCCCTCTAGCACGGCTGGATATTTTTGAAAATGTAAACCATAGTCTTTGGTGTACATCAAATACCCAAGCAGCCTTATAAGCGCTTTCCAGTGTTCTCTACCAGGATTTATTGAAAACCGGCTTAGTTTATTCACAGCTTGAGCTATATCAGGTCGTGTTCCATTCATGACATATGTTAAACATCCTATGACCCGAGGATAGTCATCTTGTGATATACTTTCTCCTCTGTTTTTACTGAGGTGAACACTAGAATCAAAAGGAGTTCTCATGGGTTTGATATCATACTTCTTGAATCTCTCGAGTATTTTCTCAATGTAGTGTGATTGAGATAATATCAACCCTTCAGGTGTTCTGATGATTTTAATTCCTAGAATTACATCAGCAACACCGAGATCCTTCATTTCAAATTTCCTGGCCAACATACTTTTGGTAGCCTTTATCAAATTACTGTTACTACCAAAAATGAGCATATCATCTACGTATAGACAGACTATGATGTAGTCAATTTGATTGCCTTTCACGTACACGCACTTGTCGGCCTCGTTGATCTTAAATCCATTTGACAGCATTACACTGTCAAATTTATCATGCCATTGTTTGGGGGCTTGCTTTAACCCATAAAGAGATTTTACTAAGCGACAAACCTTTCTTTCTTTTCCGGGGACAATAAAACCTTCAGGTTGTTGCATGTAAATCTCTTCTTCTAAGTCACCGTTCAAGAATGCAGTTTTTACATCCATTTGATGGATTTCCAAACCCTTCAATGCAGCTATTGCCAATAGCATTCGAATTGAAGTTATTCTTGTAACTGGTGAATAAACATCAAAGTAATCAAACTCCCCTTTTTGGTTGTATCCTTTGGCAACCAATCGAGCTTTGTATTTCTCAATTGTTCCATCAGTTTTTCTTTTCTTTTTGAAGATCCATTTACATCCTAGAGGTTTAGATCCAGGAGGCAAATCTACCACTTTCCAAACGTGGTTAGACATGAGGGAATCAATTTCACTTTTGATAGCCTCTTGCCATTGTGCAGCGTCCGGTGAAGACATGGCTTCCTTATAAGTTTGAGGCTCATTATCTAATAGGTACACAACAAAATCGGGCCCAAAATTCTTAGATTTTCTAGCCCTTTTGCTGCGTCCCATTTCACATTCTTCCGCCACTTCATTATTATCATTTATAGAATCAAAAGATCTCTTATGTGAATTGGTTTCTTCAACGTGGGTTGGAATGAAAACATCCATGTCGGAAGAGACAACTTCACAATCTCCCTTAAAAGGGAATACATTCTCAAAGAATGTAGCGTCTCTAGATTCTATAAAAGTATCAGCCAATATATCCATGTTATGGGATTTGTGGACAAGGAAACGATATGCACTACTATTTTGTGCATAACCAACAAAGACACAATCAATGGTCTTTGGTCCAAGTTTTGTCCTCTTAGGTTTGGGAATAGCTACTTTAGCTAGACATCCCCACACTTTCAAGTAATTAAAACTTGGTTTTTTCCCTTTCCATAACTCATATGGAATCTTGTGTGTTTTCTTGTGGGGCATTCTATTTAGAATGTAGTTGGCGGCTAAGACAGCATCCCCCCACAAGTTGTTCGGAGCACGAGAGCTAACTAACATGGCATTAACCATGTCCTTTAATGTTCTATTTTTCCTCTCGGCGATTCCATTAGATTGAGGTGTATAAGGAGCAGTAGTTTGATGAATTATTCCACTTTCCGAGCAGATTGGCTCAAAGGGATACTCATATTCACCACCCCTATCACTCCTTAACACTTTAATCTTCCTCCCAAGTTGATTTTCAACTTCAGCTTTATAATGCTTAAAAGCATTAACAGCTTCATCTTTGCTATGTAGCAAATACAGATAACAATATCTTGTGCTATCATCAATGAAGGTAATGAAATACCTTTTCCCCCCTCTAGTTTCTTCATACTTGAGATCACAAAGATCTGTGTGTATGAGATCTAGTGGTTCAGTTTCTCTAGTAATAGAGTGAAAAGGTTTTCTAGCCATTTTTGCTTCCACACAAATTTCACACTTGTGATTAGGATCAATATGACATTTAGGAAGCAATTCTAAATGCATTAATCTACGCAAAGTATCATAATTGACATGTCCTAGTCTAGCGTGCCAAATAGAAGAAGACTCAACCAAGTAAGAAGAACCCACTTTATTATTATCAACAAGTTTGGGTACAACGGTAAGTACATTCATTTTGAAGAGACCATCATTGAGATAGCCCTTCCCTACAAACACATCATTCTTTGTAAGTACAAATTTATCAGCCACAAAGACAAGCTTGAAACCATTTTTGCTAAGGAGGGAGCCCGAAACCAGATTCTTGCGTATGTCAGGGACATGTAGCACATCGTTCAAAGTTAGAGTTTTCCCACTGGTCATTTTAAGGACAACTTTGCCGCGACCTTCTGCTTTGGATGTAGAAGAGTTACCCATAAATAGTTGTTCCTCGTTATCAACGGGTTGATAATCGGTGAACATCCACTTGTTAGCACAAATATGTCGGGTAGCTCCAGTGTCAATGCACCATTCTTTAGTGTTTCCCACTAAATTGCATTGAGATATCACGGCACATAGGTTCATTTCACCCATGTCATCAGAGAGGTCGTCCACAATATTGACTTGTCCGGTCTTCTTCTTCTTAGGAGCACGACAGTCCTTAGCACGGTGACCGGGCTTGCCACAATTATAGCACTTTCCTTTGAACTTCTTTGACGAAGGTTTCCCTCCACTTGTTCCTTCGTCATTGTGCTTTCTCTTCTTCCCTTTCTTGGATCCCGCTTCCACTATGTTAGCTTTAGCTTCCATGGAATTAGATCGTCCAGCCTTATGCTCGGATTTGCGGTTATCCTCCTCTATCCTTAAACGAACAATGAGCTCCTCTAGGGACATTTCCTTACGCTTATGCTTCAAATAATTCTTGAAGTCTTTCCATTTGGGAGGTAATTTTTCAATTACCACCGCCACGTACTTGGAAAGACTCGCTAAGAGACATACCCTCAACGTGAATTTCATGAAGAATAAGTTGGAATTCTTCAACTTGAGAAACGACCGATTTGTGGTCTACCATCTTAAAGTCCAAGAAATGCCCGACAATAAATTTCTTTTTGCCGGCATCCTCGGTCTTGTATTTTTTCTCAAGTGATCCCCACAATTCATTTGCCGTCTTTATATCGGCATACACGGAGTATAAGGAGTCATCGAGTCCGTTTAAGAGATAATTTCTACACAAGAAATCTGAGTGCTTCCACACATCCACCGCAGCTATTTTCTCCTTATCAGTCTCGCCTTCCTCTAAGAGAGGTGGATTCTCGGAGAGACACTTGGCCAAATTCAACGTTGTCAAATAAAATAACATTTTTTGTTGCCAACGCTTAAAGTCATGGCCGTTGAATTTAGCCGGTTTCTCCCCATGAAATGAACTGACCGGAAAGGCGGTGAGCGGATTTGCTTTGGGTAAAGTGATGTTTGTTTCGTTACTCATTCTGTTTACAGAAAACAGAAAATTGGAATTATGTTGATTAACAAAAAATATACACAAATTAAAATTTAT